CTTGGGGATATATTGTATCTATTGTTGTAATTGGCAACACTGTATCTTTTTGTATGAGTACAATGCCTGAGATCACTGTTGTTTTAAGCTAACAATTAACCAGATTTCTTAGGTAACGTTTCCCTTACAGGAGAGAGAGAGAGAGAGAGAGAGAGAGAGAGAGAGAGAGAGAGAGAGAGAGAGAGAGAGAGAAGAGAGAGAATGCCTAAGATCACTGTTGTTTTAAGCTCACTTTAAATGCAAATTAATTAACCAGATTTCTTAGGTAATGTTTCCGTTACAGGGGAGGGAGAGAGAGAGAGAGAGAGAGAGAGAGAAACGGTACAGTGCATGAGATCACTGTTGTTTTAAGCTCACTTAAAATGCAAATTAATTAACCAGATTTTTTAGGTAAGGTTTCCCTTACAGGGTGAATAATTACAAGACTTTGAAATCTTACACAAGTGTTATTTGTGAGATGTTTGGTGTTTTAGAAGGTTTATTTGCAAACACGAGGCAGGGAGCACGCTGATGCCTAGTAATTAGTACTCAAGAAACACATGTGTCTACACCAAAGCTTTAAGGGATTTTCACTATTTGTTCATGAGTGTACTCAACAAATTAGCTCACACATAAGTTTTTTAACAATCGTGAAAATAAACAAACACTTCAGGTGCAGTCTCTTCAGCCAATAGCAGTAGGCTAGCAATTGTTGTTATTTCTTTCAATTATTACCACCTGATTAAGGGAGAATGTGTAGAATTAGATACACATTTTTGACAAGATGACTTTGTGTTATTTTGTAAAAAGTAAGATATATAATTACTCTGTATTATTCAGTGAATGTGGTTTAACATATTGACTCGGGTACACGTCTTTTGAGATATGGGAAATGTTGATGTGACTTGGTTCACTTCCTACAGTGAAGCAGAATGATGTGACAGACGAGGAAACCGGTAGCTACCTGGATATTTACTCAAGTGGTATCTGCTCAGGAATTATTTCCTTGCAGTGTCACCGGCGGCCACATCTCCTTGCAATATTTGATGGGGGAGTTTGAGTTGGCTGTTCTCTGGTGTTGTCTATATATTGTTATACAGGTGTTGGATGGCCCACTGGGCCATGTGTTTCCTTGTGACACGAACGTGTTCAGTTCCACGTTGTGCCCTCAGCATCCTCATGAGAGGAAAGCTTTGATGAACTGAACCAAACCTTGCAATAGTTATCCCCACCTCGAAGTGGAAGGGGGATATGGGAATGTGTGCTGTCCGTTCTCCTGCCCGTCCATCACATTTCGTTTCCAGAGCAGAACTAAAAAAACATGAGAGATATCTTAACCAAACTTGGCACATAGATAGGTCTTGTGGTGAAATGGTGCCATTTGATTGTTTGGGATTTTTTAAAAGTTTATTTTTCGAGTTTCCATGGCAACGACTTTGACTGAAAATGGCAGTAGTGCTCCTTTCCGGAGCAGATCTTGAAAACTGTACAATATTTCTTGCCTTGCACACAACGGGACATGTCATATTGGTGGGGGATATGAGTATTTTGAGAGATTTTGTGTTAAAAAGGTTGTTGATATTAAAATAAATTGAAAATATCAAAATAACAATGCACAACACAAGCAAATGTTGTTTACATGATGTTATCTGATGGTCACAATTGTATCTTTCTTCTTCATGTTTACCACACTAGGAATGTGAAACAGAATCTTTTTTAATCATATTTAGAATGCCTTTTAGTTTTGTAAGATGGAGGTCTGATAGTTCATCATTTGGGTCAGAGTTTTGGAGGTCATCTCATTGCTTTATAAACTCAATTCTGTTGGCCCCGCGGGAACCCCCTTCCCCCCCTTCGGTGACTGTGACATAGTGGACAGTCACATGATGGGACAGCCTGGCCCTGACTGCCGGCCTGTGTCGAGTTGACCGACAGGTGCTACTGCCTCATGGTCCTGGAGGAACAGGTTTAATCCTCCAGATACTTTGGTGTCCTCTTGGACAGAACGTGATACATCTACACGTGGGACGATAGATTCGCGTGTTGTGACCACCGGGCAGGGTGGGATTTGTTCAAAGAATTTCTACTCCTGGAGATTAATTCTGTCTGATAGGTGATTTGATAACAGATGTTTGTTTAAGGAAATTCTTGGGAACAGCGTGTCAGTGGATTCTTGTTAATCCATTTGGTTTATCAGAGACTGCATGGGTTTCATATTATCATGGTTTAAACTGAAAAGAAAAAGAAATGTGGACATTTTCTGTTGGCAATAACTAAATGTAATCAAAGGGACATTAACTAACCATGATTCAATGAACCAAAAATGTTTTCATCAAGAAAATTTTTTTTAACCAGAAATGTGTTGATCCAGACAAAGTTGCTAGGATTAATACCATCCAGATAAACAGGGTTTCACTGTATATAGAAATGATTAGGTATATGAAAACCTGGGACTAATTTAATAAAATTAGGAAATGCATTTTTTCAGTGTTATTTTACTCTCAGTAGTGTTATTAGCTGACATTCACACACTGAATTAACATTGACATTCACACACTGAAGTAACATTGATATTCACACACTGAATTAACACTGACATTCACACACTGAAGTAACATTGACATTCACACACTGAATTAACACTGACATTAACACACTGAATTAACACTGACATTCACACACTGAATTAACATTGACATTCACACACTGAATTAACACTGACATTCACACACTGAATAAACATTGACATTCATACACTGAATTAACACTGACATTCACACACTGAATTAACACTGACATTCACACACTGAATAAACATTGACATTCACACACTGAATTAACATTGACATTCACACACTGAATTAACACTGACATTCACACACTGAATTAACACTGACATTCACAAACCGAATTAACATTGACATTCACACACTGAATTAACACTGACATTCACACACTGAATTAACACTGACATTCACATACTGAAGTAACACTGACATTCACACACTGAATTAACACTGACATTCACATACTGAAGTAACACTGACATTCACAAACTAAATTAACATTGACATTCTCATATTGAAGTAACACTGACATTCTCATATTGAAGTAACACTGACATTCACACACTGAATTAACACTGACATTCTCATATTGAAGTAACACTGACATTCACACACTGAATTAACACTGACATTCACAAACTAAATTAACATTGACATTCACACACTGAATTAACACTGACATTCACACACTGAATTAACACTGACATTCACACACTGAATTAACATTGACATTCACACACTGAATTAACACTGACATTCACAAACTAAATTAACATTGACATTCACACACTGAATTAACACTGACATTCACATACTGAAGTAACACTGACATTCACACACTGAAGTAACAGAGATTCTCATACTGAATTAACGTTGACATTCACACACTGAATTAACAGAGATTCTCATATTGAATTAACACTGACATTCACACACTGAATTAACACTGACATTCACACACTGAATTAACATTGACATTCACACACTGAATTAACACTGACATTCACAAACTAAATTAACATTGACATTCACACACTGAATTAACACTGACATTCACATACTGAAGTAACACTGACATTCACACACTGAAGTAACAGAGATTCTCATACTGAATTAACGTTGACATTCACACACTGAATTAACAGAGATTCTCATATTGAATTAACACTGACATTCACACACTGAATTTACACTGACATTCACATACTGAATTAACACTGACATTCACATACTGAATTTACACTGACATTCACACACTGAATTATCACTGACATTCATATACTGAATTAACACTGACATTCACACACTGAATTAACACTGACATTAACACACTGAATTAACACTGACATTAACACACTGAATTAACACTGACATTCACACACTGAATTAACACTGACATTCACACACTGAATTAACACTGACATTAACACACTGAATTAACACTGACATTAACACACTGAATTAACACTGACATTCACACACTGAATTAACACTGACATTCACACACTGAATTAACACTGACACTCACACACTGAATTAACACTGACATTCACATACTGAATTAACAGACATTCACATACTGAGGTAACGTTGGCATTCACACACTGAAGTAACACTGACATTCACACACTGAATTAACACTGACATTCACACACTGAAGTAACACTGACATTCACACACTGAATTAACACTGACATTCACACACTGAAGTAACACTGACATTCACACACTGAAATAACACTGACATTCACACACTGAAGTAACACTGACATTCACACACTGAAATAACACTGACATTCACACACTGAATTAACACTGACATTCACACACTGAATTAACACTGACATTCACACACTGAATTTACACTGACATTCACACACTGAATTAACACTGACATTAACACACTGAATTAACACTGACATTAACACACCGAATTAACACTGACATTCACATACTGAATTAACACTGACATTCACACACTGAATTAACACTGACATTCACATACTGAATTTACACTGACATTCACACACTGAATTAACACTGACATTCACATACTGAATTTACACTGACATTCACACACTGAATTAACATTGACATTCACACACTGAATTAACACTGACATATGACTGATGATGTCCTGGTGTTACAATGGTTGTGGCTCCGTGAAGACCTGGGGTAGAATAGGTCTTCAGCAACCCATGCTTGCCCTAAAAGGGGACTATGCTTGTCGTAAGAGGCTTGATCGGGTCGTCAGGCTTGCTGACTTGGTTGATGCATGTCATCGTATCCCAATAACATGGATCGATGCTCATGATGTCAATCACTGGATTGTCTGGTCCAAACTTGCTTATGGACTGCCGTCATATAGCTGGAATATTGCTGAGTGCGACATTAAACAACAAACAAACAAACAAACAGACAATGGTTGTGAGAACTGTCTGTTCTCTGTTTCAGGACATTGGGTGTGATGGCATCGCAGGGTCCGGATCCAGTGTGGACCAGTGTGGCATCTGCGGCGGTGACGGCAAGTCATGCCAGATCATCTCCGGCATCTTCACACGACGACAGCTGGACAAGTACGGCTACAACGTCATCACCAAGATCCCATCCGGGGCCTGCAGTATCAACATCACTGAGCTGGCCAAGAGCCGGAATTACCTCGGTAAGGATTCTGCTTGACACAATACCTTGTATCTCCAAGCTAGATGATCGCCAATCATCCAATCATTTCACCTCCAGAGGACATCTGTGAATGTCGGTCCATGCAAAGAGTGAAATGGTACCTGATCTGTTCCTGAACATGGTGGTGACTCAGAAGTTATTGACAATTTATGGACAAATTGTCACAAGCAGCCTGTCCAAAGTACAGGTCAACAGCTTTTGTTTTAGAAGTGGTCGAGAATTCTAGACAGTTGCACATTAAGTATGCTTTATAATGTAGATAATCCCAGGGATGTATTGATACCTGCTCAGAGCCCAGCCCCAAGTGTGCAGCAAATGATAGGAAAAATTCCCAATTTGAATTTAAAATTTTAAAATTCTGCAAAATTTACAAAAATAGGAATTTAAAGAAAACTCAGATTTTGAACACTATCACAACTTTTTCAAAATTTGCCTGCCAAGGGCACTGGAACCCCTAATATTTCCCTGCATCCTCATGCAAGTGTTTGGTTACTGTTTGGAATCAGGAGGGGATCTTCTGATGACTTGTGTATGGACATCCAGAATCTCTCTACATTCATATGACCCTTGACCTCTTGAGGTTGGTTATTGTATGATCAGAATCACACACAGTTCTGTATTTTGTTTGTGTAAGATTACATCATGTTGAGGACTATTTGCTCATCAGCCTCATATCAAAAACAGCTGTTTTGTGACATTTTACTCAAGGATTAATACTTATGATGGTTAAAGGTCTCTCTTACAGTTGATGGACATCGCGCTAATTTGTAATCAATGAGCACAAAGGTGGCAGGGCTGATCATAAGTAATGGTACATCGGTAGTTATTGGGCTTCAATAAGTATTGAATGTTGTACCTTTAGGTTTTAATAAATACCTGTAAACGGATAAGGATTGAGTACTTGCTTGAGATTTGAAGGGTCAGTTTTCCCCCTGATGATTTATCCCGCCCTTGACATGGCCAAACATGATACAAACATGATACAAGTCAAGGATACAAACATGATACAAACATAATACAAGTCAAGGGTACAAACATGATACAAATCTAGGATACAAACATGATACAAATCAAGGATACAAACATGATACAAACAAGGATACAAACATGATACAAATCAAGGATACAAATATGATACAAACATGATACAAATCAAGGATACAAACATACAAACATACAAATCAAGGATACAAACATGATACAAATCAAGGATACAAACAAGGATACAAACATGATACAAACAAGGATACAAACATGAAACAAATCAAGGATACAAACAAGGATACAAACATGATACAAATCAAGGATTCAAACATGATACAAACATGATACAAACAAGGATACAAACAAGGATACAAACATGATACAACAAGGATACAAACATGATACAAACAAGGATACAAACAAGGATGCAAACATGATACAAACATACAAATCAAGGATACAAACAAGGATACAAACATGATTCAAATCAAGGATACAAACAAGGATACTAACAAGGATACAAACATGATACAAACATGATACAAATCAAGGATACAAACAAGGATACAAACATGATTCAAATCAAGGATACAAACAAGGATGCAACAAGGATACAAACATGATACAAACAAGGATACAAACATGATACAAATCAAGGATACAAACAAGGATACAACAAGGATACAAACATGATACAACAAGGATACAAACATGATACAAACAAGGATACAAACAAGGATGCAAACATGATACAAACATACAAATCAAGGATACAAACAAGGATACAAACATGATTCAAATCAAGGATACAAACAAGGATACAAACAAGGATACAAACATGATACAAACATGATACAAATCAAGGATACAAACAAGGATACAAACATGATTCAAATCAAGGATACAAACAAGGATGCAACAAGGATACAAACATGATACAAACAAGGGTACAAACATGATACAAATCTAGGATACAAACATGATACAAATCAAGGATACAAACATGATACAAACAAGGATACAAACATGATACAAATCAAGGATACAAATATGATACAAACATGATACAAATCAAGGATACAAACATACAAACATACAAATCAAGGATACAAACATGATACAAATCAAGGATACAAACAAGGATACAAACATGATACAAACAAGGATACAAACATGAAACAAATCAAGGATACAAACAAGGATACAAACATGATACAAATCAAGGATTCAAACATGATACAAACATGATACAAACAAGGATACAAACAAGGATACAAACATGATACAACAAGGATACAAACATGATACAAACAAGGATACAAACAAGGATGCAAACATGATACAAACATACAAATCAAGGATACAAACAAGGATACAAACATGATTCAAATCAAGGATACAAACAAGGATACTAACAAGGATACAAACATGATACAAACATGATACAAATCAAGGATACAAACAAGGATACAAACATGATTCAAATCAAGGATACAAACAAGGATGCAACAAGGATACAAACATGATACAAACAAGGATACAAACATGATACAAATCAAGGATACAAACAAGGATACAACAAGGATACAAACATGATACAACAAGGATACAAACATGATACAAACAAGGATACAAACAAGGATGCAAACATGATACAAACATACAAATCAAGGATACAAACAAGGATACAAACATGATTCAAATCAAGGATACAAACAAGGATACAAACATGATACAAATCAAGGATACAAACAAGGATACAAACATGATTCAAATCAAGGATACAAACAAGGATGCAACAAGGATACAAACATGATACAAACAAGGATACAAACATGATACAAATCAAGGACACAAACATGATACAAATCAAGGATACAAACAAGGATACAACAAGGATACAAACATGATACAAACATGATACAAACATGATACAAACAAGGATACAAACAAGGATACAAACATGATACAACAAGGATACAAACATGATACAACAAGGATACAAACATGATACAAACACAAATCAAGGATACAAATCAAGGATACAAACATGATACAAACATGATACAAACAAGGATACAAACATGATACAAACATGATACAAACAAGGATACAAACAAGGATACAAACATGATACAACAAGGATACAAACATGATACAACAAGGATACAAACATGATACAAACACAAATCAAGGATACAAATCAAGGATACAAACATGATACAAACATGATACAAACAAGGATGCAAACATGATACAAACATACAAATCAAGGATACAAAGAAGGATACAAACAAGGATACAAACAAGGATACAAACATGATACAAATCAAGGATACAAACAAGGATACAAACATGATTCAAATCAAGGATACAAACAAGGATACAAACATGATACAAACAAGGATACAAACATGATACAAATCAAGGATACAAACATGATACAAATCAAGGATACAAACAAGGATACAAACATGATACAAATCAATGATACAAACAAGGATACAAACATGATTCAAATCAAGGATACAAACAAGGATACAAACATGATACAAACAAGGATACAAACATGATACAAATCAAGGATACAAACATGATACAAATCAAGGATACAAACAAGGATACAAACATGATATAAATATACAAATCAAGGATACAAACAAGTATACAAACATGATACAAGTCAAGGATCCAAACAAGGATACAAACATGATACCACAATGATACAGCCAACAGCTGCAGTTGACAGGGTCGTTTTAGGTTTCAGTGATTAAGCAGAACTCTTTCTTTTGAAGTGTTTCAGATTGATGGTGCTTCTTGCACAACTAGAAACATGATTGAAACTTTATACAACTTGAATTGTCTAAAACACTGAGTCAGCTGTCCAGAAATCAAGCTGACATTCCTGTCGGGTGAAACCAGACATGTCACATGACAGGTGGGAATCAGAAAACACTTGACGAGCAAATGCTGGACATCAAAGGTCTACCTGTGTCAATACAGCGTTTACCAACATGTGCTAAACAGGTTTTACACCATCGAGAAACTTCATTCAATTAAATATCCCACATGATCCCTAGAATGTTCTCAATTAGATGTGGACAATTTGTACAACACTGTAGCTTTAGATTGGCTGGAGTGACATGACATGTTCTGGACCAGGAGAGTGCGGTTCGGGGAATACAAGTCCGCTTTCATTATCAAATATTAAGATTTGAGTAAATTCAGTTTCCCATAGTCAATTGAAGCAGCACAGGTAATTAACATTTCATATTTACTAAAAGAGTTGAAAATATTGATGATATCCTTCTCCCCAAATGCAGGGAAACAGGGGACTTGCTTGTCTTTGAAAGGCATTTAGAAGTGAGAGTGATAGAATGAGTTAAAATTTAACATCACATTGGCAGTATTTCAGTCGAATAGTGACGATAGCAGAAGCTGAATGAATTGAACTTGAAGACAGGAAGCTTTAGTGGATCATGTTTCAAGGCTACTTCATCAGAAAGGGGCACGAAATAGCCATGAATGTTGTTACAAATAATAAAGAAGTTGTTATCTGTAGATGTGTCATGTCTTCAGGTTAGTTCTTATCGGTCACCAAAAACATTCTCCTTGTCATACATGATAAGGGGGCACGGGTGGCCCAGTCGTCTAATTGGCTGTGCAGAGTTGCGTCCCCTGGACACGCCAGAAACCTATGATTGTGGGTTCGAATCCCGGTTCACCCCGATTATGTTTCTAGGTTTGTCAGCACCATACCCGTGCTCGTGGGTTTCACCGAAGTGGTAAACGTCTTAGACCTGCATCACTTCAGGCTTTCCTCCCACATTAAGCTGACATGCCGTGATATAACTGGAATAATGTTAAAAGCGGCGTTAAACCCAACTCACTCACTCACTCACTCACTCACTCACTCACTCATACATGATAAAACGATGGTCAAGGGATGACAGGAGACAGTATTGTTATCTACCATGGTCACAGCATACATTCAGT